TTTTTTCAAATTTATTTAAATAATATAAATAGTCTTTACATTTTTCGAAAATGTATTTAATTTGAAATTTTTTGTTTGTAAATATATTTTCCAAATAATAATTATTTTATTTTATTTTTTAATTTTTATAATTGCCTTTTTTTATATAATTTAATAATTAAATACATAATATTGTTCGAAATTAACAATTTATTTTGTTCCTTTTATTGTTCTTTTATGAAAATCTTTGATTTTTTTCAATTTATTTAAATAATATTTATATTCTTTAATTTTTTTGACAATACATTTAATTTGATTTGTTGTTTTTTGTAAATATATTTTTCAAATGTAATATTTGTGATTGTATGGTAGTTAGAGTTCGGTTCCCTTGATTTTGTGAAATTATGCTTTCTTTTGTTATCTCTTGTTCAATGCTATAACATTTGAATTTTTGCAGGATGAAGTATCATTTAGATGCAGAGTTCAGATGGATGGCGGGGAAAGCTACTTGGAACAGTAGCTTTGAGAGTTTTACTACTGTGTTGGAGCTGCTCGATGATCGGCACGAAAATATGCTACGACAGTCCTTCTTGTCGCCACTGTACCAGTTGCGAGAGGTGCAGTACTCAGGACAGATTATTGATGCACTTCTACGTCGGCTTCTGAGGCCAGTCGACCGCGATTCCCTCCAGTTCGACCTCGGGGGCAAGGTTGTCAGTTTCTCGATGTTTGAGTTTACATTGATTACTGGACTGAGGATTACGGACGACGATGCAGCCATGGAGAGAAGCAATAGGCCGTACGAGACGTACTTCCAGGGACATGGGTCGGTGCTTCTACCCGACTTGATGGTTGCGATCAATGGGTGCGACCATATGCTAGATAAATTGAAACTTGGGTTGGTCTACATCCTCGAGAGTGTGATGAGGTGTCATCACAAGAAGACTGCCATCGACATTTTTCATTTACAAGTTGTTGACGACATCGATGCGTTCAACAACTATCCATGGGGCCGGAGATGCTACAAAGACACCGTACATGTGTTCACCAGATCGCACTCGAGGCCCAGGGGGTCGATGCGTAAATACGATACATATGGATTACCCTTAGCGGTGCAGGTAAATGTTTAATTTAATCAAAGTTAAAGTTTTAGTGTATTACATTGATGCTTAATAAGTGTATGTGTTACAGATTTGGGTGTATGAGACAGTTCCTGTACTGGGGGCCTGCTTTGCGCAGCGAAGGGAGACACGTTGCCCTCGGATGCATCATTGGAGATCATCGCCAGCGGAGGGATGTCCCACTGGGAAGCAGTTATCGGCCCTCCTCGACGATCCTCAAGTAAGTATTATGCATTTGTGATTTATATTATACGTAGTTTAAAATTTTGTTTACATGATCGTTAAGTAGTTAAAATGTCAATATGTCAGTTTGAAGTCATACCTGAGTTGAAGCCGTTGATGGAAGAGGAGGCTCGGGGTCTTGTACGAGATTTAGGCGTTCCGCACACCCCAAACGAGGAGATGTCTGATCTGAGTTTGGACCGAGATTGGGTATGTGAATGAAATATAATTTATTGAATATCGTCGATGTATAAATTTATTGAATAAATTTTAATTTTATTTATGTAGGAGGGCGGTCCAGCTGATCGATAATCACCTCCGTCTAGGGTATCGCCGCCACCATTGGCATCACCTCCGCTGAAAGTATCGTTCCCGCCATTGGCATCACCTCCGTCGAAGGCATCACCGCCGCTAGTGGCATCACCTCTGTCGGGGCCATTGCCACCGCCATTGGCATCACCTCAGTCCAGACACCTCCCCCGTGTGTCTCCGGGGCACAGTGATGATTTGTATGCCCGTTTGACTGGATTTATAGCGGAGGAGGTCGGCGCGCTACGACGAGATTTGATGGAGAGGTTCGATGATCTGGGACGAGAGTTGACAGGGAGGGTCGACGATCTGGCAGGGAAGGTCGACTATCTGACAGGGCGGGTCGACGATATGGGACGAGAGTTGACAGGGAGGGTTGACAATTTATCCCATGATGTTGGAATATTACAGTCTTCCGTTGTCGACCTTCAGGATATAGTAGCGGTGCTTAGAGGAGATTTAGCCGGCAGACGATGGGGGGACAGAGGGGATGGCGGAGATCATGATCGAGAGGGTGGCAGAGATGGTGATGGAGAGGGGGGTCACCCACATTTTTGGCGTGATGAGACATTGGAGTCATTGTGGTTGTCTATGGAGGGGGTGGCCCCGATGGGGATAGGAGAGGGGACTACGGAGGGGGTGGCCTCGACGGGAGGGGCGGAGGAGGTGGCGACGGATGGGGAGGCCCCGATGGGAGGGGCGGAGGAGGTGGCCTTAGAGGTCGAGAGGACGTCCGGCGTGATTGAAGGTAAGAGACATGCTGTTGACAAGACGGAGCTGGTGGTCGGCAAGAGGTTGAGAGTGCCGTCACAATATGTTGTTTCCCCCTTCACGGCTGAGGCCAAGAGGAGGACGTTTATCGATGGGATGCACCCGAACTTATTCAGGGAGGTGGACAATGCCAAGTGAAAAGCGTTCGAGACAGAGTGGCGGAGAAGTATCCCCGGGTAAGTATTGTATGATTTTAATAAAGCACTGTACGCTAACTCGTCTACGCTTATTTTAACATTTCCTTGTTTTTTGCAGAATTAGCCGCACGATAGGTCAAAAGACGATCTCAGACCCTTACAAGTGGTTCCACGATATCACCACTGCGGGAGCTTGGCTCGCCGACGATGTAAGTGAACTATTCATTTCGTGTATTTTATGTATACGTCACTTTGTGTTTATTAAATGAATAACTCATACTTTTTTGGTGTTTCCTGCTGCAGCACATCGACCTGGCCATGGACTTGCTGCGAGATCGAGCTCAAAGACATCCAAAATCATTTGATGTCCATGGTCGAGTCATATTAAACACCGAGTTCTTGCATGCCGTTACCATAGAGTATCAGTCGCTCGAACTTATGGGTAACGAGTACACGGTGTCAGAATATATGCTCGAGTGGGTGATAGGACTGTCACCGAGTGTCGGGGGAAAATCATAGGAGGATTGTCCACATATGTACATTCCAGCATGCATCAATAAACACTATGTTACGTTGGAGATCGTTTTTGCTGGCTCGATTATATATGTGTACGACCCAAATCATTCATATTTGACACAGTGCCAGTTGGAGCAAAACCTAGAGTCCGTGGCTGTAATTGTTCCTATGATGGCCGGCCGAGCGGGGATAAATGTACAGGACAGATTGTGGATTGTTCGAAACACGACGACTGCGCGACAGTCCGTAAGGTAAGTGTTTGAAATTTTTGTTTTTATCTTTCAGATTTAGATTTTACTTACACAGTACTGAATTGATTCATTCTTGTTCAATTGCAGTGGCGACTGCGACATATTTTCCATTAAGTACGTCGAATTTTTAAGTATAAGGCATAAGGTTGATGGAATCAACCAGTCGTGGATACAGAACTGGAGAAAGAAGTTAGCATGTGATTTGTTCGAATTTAACGCTGACTCGTAAATTTGTATTAAATATATGTAACGTTTCAATTGTAAATTTAATTATTTTTTGTGATTATGATATAATTGTAAATTTATGTTCAATGTATATAACATTCACATTGAAAATTTAATTGTATTTTTTGTTTTGTTATTTTACACGTAGGTCGAGTATGGAACTATTTTTTTCATATGAATCATTATAAATACCGTTTATCAAGAATAAATATTGAACATCGAAGATTTATAAAAAACAAATATTGAACAGTGTAAAATAAAAGGAAATATTATTCATTTAACGTACCTGTCTAATCGTCATTTAGGGGAATTTGACTGGTATAAAATTGTCGAGTATGCCCTACGGCTCTGAACCTGTCACACCTACGCGGTCGAGAAAACTCTCCGGTAGATGGTATTCTAGATGTACTTGGACATCCAGAACCACGCGGTTCAACTGCTGGTGACAACAAATTATGAAATGGGAGAATGTGCTCAGGAACTTCCCACTCGACTTTATTTGGCAGAGGAAATATAGTCTTAGCATTTACTGTTCTCCAACACTCAGTCGTATAATACAAAGAGCATAACGTTCTTGCAGCAAAGCCTCGATACATGGCCACCGCAACTGCATGCTCACATGGAAAGCTCTCCAACTGAAATCTCGTACAACTGCATGTGTTATCAGTCAAGTCCAACATATATGCCGTATTACGTGCATATTGCATGGAGAAGCGAAACTCATCTAGTGCTTTCACATTCAACTTCCTCACAACCTCTGCTGCCTTAAACAGTTTCTCCTCTTGAGCTGGGGCCAACACGCTACTGTAACTCTGTGATGCCGCACGTCGGTCATGAAACCACAGTTGTAGCTTGTTACGAATGTTCTCAATCATTGCGAGAATTGGTAACTCTCGATCCTTCTTAAACAATGCATTGAGAGACTCCGCGTTATTCGACGTCATCATGTT